GCAAGGTTGCAGACTGGTTGCATGACATACCAACTGGTTGCAAGTCGCCAATAAAACCAACTAAGCTGAGGCCTAGAGAGGGCTTGGTATACCTGAAAACGCCGCTTGGGTTGCCATCATGGCAATCAGAAGAGACAGCCCCCCTATCAGCCAGCGGCTCACCATGACTTGAGAGCCCCAAAGCCACGACCTGAGCGAAAAAACAACCTGGAACTCTAGCCCCACAGCGGCGAGTACGCGGACCAGCCAACTGTTGGGAGTTCCAAGCGCAATGTCGATCTCCCTTTCACTGACCTCTGCTTGGTCTGGATTGGTGGTTTGGCGCTTTGAGGCTGCTTTACTATTTCCCCTCAAGGGTTTCAAATCCTCAAACAACCAATCCAAAACACCAATTGAGGGTTGGTTGTTATTCCCCTTAAACTTGATTGGACATTCTTCAAGCTTCCGCTTGGACTCTTCCGCATCCTTGTCCCTCAGGGGGTACCTGATAATGTTGACCCCATATCAATCAACCAACCTGTTTATCAACAAGGAGGGGTGTCCAATTGGCTTCGTGGGGAATCAGACCACTTTTGGAGGGGAACATTCATCATCACTGCTGTCCCCATACACCGGGGTTGCACTTTTGGCTTTGGCCAAAACCCCCGCCCCCCCCCCCCCCCCACTAAAATAAACAGGCTGGTCGATTGAACTGGTCATCGTTTCAGCCAGTTCAATCATCGTATCCCCACCCGTCAGCCCGTCTCGCGCCTCCGCAGAACATCTTCCAGAAGGCCTTCAGTGAGCCCTCGCCATAGCCTCGCGGCGGGGGCCGCGAGAAAACCTGAAAGAATCACGTGGAAGCTCGTTGAATGAAATCTAAATCTCATTGACCTGGTACAAGACATAAGAATACGATGAGACTCCAAAACCGAGTCTCAAAAAGGGTAGGTCATTGTTGCTTGCAGATGTATTGGAGTCTGATTCCCGACTGCCCAGAACAAATGCGCGGGGGGGGGGGGAAGTTCTAAGCAAGGGTTGCTTCAGCCAAAACCATGACCTGGAAGGGCAGGATTCATGATGAGTTGCACATTCCTCTTACGGGAACTTGGAGGCTATCAGGAAAGGTTCAGAGCCTACAGTATCGCCTTCAACTAAATTTAAGTGCCGCGCCTTCTTCCAGAAACGCGGTCACGGCCATCTTGTTCGCTGCGGCTTTGCCCTCCACGCTGATGTTGTACAGCTTCCTCCCACGCACCGCCCTCATGCCTCCCACACACGCGTCACCGCGCGCGAACGGAACCGACCGCGACCGCGAGTCGGTCCTGAGGTTCTTCGGGGTGTTGAATCCCAAGCCTTCGGAGACCGGGGACCGCGGCCGGCGCACACCTGCCGGATCAGCCAGTCAATACCCGAGTGGGAGAAGGGAAAAACGTGGAAAATTGGTTGGTTTGTGCGTAGAGCCACCAATCCCAAACACGGTTCCCAATCCTCAAACCACCAATCCAAAACATAGAATGGAGCTTTGCTTGATGAGCCTTGGCTTGCAAGCTTCGTCCATCCGAACCGGCAGGCCTGGCACGTGCACAGTGGGCGCCACGAAATCCACTGCGGCTGCCACCTGACGGTGGAAGGTCCAAGCAGAAAGCGCTCACTCGACGCATCGCAGTCTGCGGCACGGAAATCCACATCTGGCTTACCGTTTCTTTTTCTTTGTTTTGTGTGTGTGTGTGTTTTTTAAGGAAGTCCAGCCCCATGTCGAGACCTAACCCGGTGGTCAGCCACCGGACTGTCGCCAGTGCTCCCGGTCAAGTGCCGCACCGCTCAGGCACTCGACCAATCCAACAAACGCACCCGGGCGTCGAGCTGAAGGACTGGTGGCTCAGGGAAACAGGAAAGCTCCGAACATGCTCTACCTGAAGGGAGCTGTTCGTGCCCGGGCTGCACAGTCTGCAAGCAAATCGTGGAGGGGTGACATCCCATGGAAGCTAATCCGAACATGCTCTACCTGACCGGCCAGGAATCTCTTCGCACCCTTGCAAAGTCGGCAAGCCCTTGCTGTGGCGACATTTTTTGGAACGGCACGGCTTCACGGCAGCCTCCTCCGGCAGGGTGTAGCCCAGAGCTCGGGTCAGAACCGCTCCGCTGCTGTGTGCCAGGCGCACATAGCTGGTGTTCAGCATCCTGGTGCTTGCAGGTCCATATCTTTCGCAGGGGGGAACTCAGCTTCCTCCCTCTGGGTGGTTTGGAGGCTGGTGGCTTGGTGGTGGTCACGGGGTGGTTTCGGGGTGGTTTCGGATTAAACCACAAGAACCAGAGGTTCAAATCCAAACTCAAACAATGAGGGGGAGGCTGAGAGACAGAGGTTGGGGAAACCCCAATGAAGTTCCGGCGAAAAAAACCAGCCAAGAGAAATTGGGTTCAAGCAACAACCTCGGGAACAGAACGGCACGCCTCTCCGCCACCTCCACCGGCACAGTGGCCGAAATGATGTCACCTCTGGCGCCGAAGTGAAAAAACTGGAAACAACTCGAAAGCCATCGCACCACAAGCTCCGGAGTTGTGTTTCCTTTTTTCTTTTCTTTTCCGGGCATGTTTCCTTAAGCCATAACAAGAAACGGGAAGCATTCCTCAAACGAATCGCCCTCCGAAACCTTACCGCTCGCCCGGCCGCCTTTTGCCTCTCGCCTCTCGGCTCTTGATCCAAGCGGCCGTTGGGCGTGGCGTCCTGGGGCTCGGCGCCAAAGCGGCGCAGGAACTCGCGCACCGCCTGGAGGTGCTCGGGCCTGAGGGGTGCGCCGCGCGCCGCTTGTTGCGTGGCTCGGTTTTCTTTCTCAGGATTTGAAATGGTAGGTCAAAATCCCGTATTTTCAGTGAACATCCCAATCCCACTAAAATAGACAAAAATGGGTGGTGCACCTGCCCCAAAATGGTACCATTGGTTTTGACCCACAGCCAAATGGCGCAACGGAGTTTAAGTTGTAAGTGAAAGAGGACACTGGTTGTGTTCTTTTTGTTAGGATGTGGAGCCCCGAAATGGTGGTTTCTCTTGGTTTACCTTTACCACGAAGCAAGGGGGTGTCCTAACAGATAAGACACACTTGTATGAACGTGTTGCCTTTGGAGCTCCGGAGGTTGATGCAAAGGCTCAACAGGATCAGATCCCACGCCGACATCTCCGGCGACATCGGAGTGCCGAGTCGCTCTGGCGCTGTCATGGTGTTCACCTGCTCATTGCTGAGGTGCTGCCCGTAAGAGCTAGAGGAAGGATCCGACACACGCTCCAGCGCCTGACAAACTGCACCCACTGACCGTGCAAAACTCCTGAAGTCACACAAACCGAAAACCAAACCCGCTACTGTTCAACTCACATGTGAGTTTCTCACCATACTCACTGCCGTGTTTCCCCTACCAACCATTGCGAGACGCCCCCAATTCCCCCCCCAATCCGCCCTTCCCCCCACAGATCTTTCTGACAGTCTGACTCCCTCCACATCCCTCCGGTCGCGGGCCATCCCTCCGGCTCCGTCCGTTTCGGCGCCGCCGCGCCTGCAGCAGCGCGGCGCGGTTTCGTTGCCGCACCGCGAAGCTCAGCTCCAGCAGCTCCGTGGCCTCTGCCGGGCCCGCCACCTGACGTGCCGCGAGCGAGGCGGGGAGTGGGGAGATGTTGGAAAGTGGGGGGCGAAGGGAGGTGTTGAACGGGGGCGTTTTTTGTGCGGCTTGGGTGTGATTTCTTGGGATGTTGTAGAAGTTTGGAGCGCTATTGAGACTTAGATCTGCTGACATGTTTGATGTGGGAGCTCTGACTTCTGATGTGCTGAACTACTGTGCCGTGAGGTGCCAAGCAGCTGATATATGACATCTAAAGTAAAAGATTCAAGCTAGAGTGAGACTCTTTAATGCTGCATCCTCTGCAAGGTATCTGAGCTGGGTGGGGGGAAGGATTCCACAGGCCACAGGCCTCATGATCTTCTCTTTGAAAGACCCTAAGCTTGTGGGAAAAAGCCGGGTTCCGCACTCCATATGAGCCCCCAAGCAGGGATCCTGACATGAAATACACCCATTGCGACTAGTAAATGGTGGTGTCCACCTTTACTTTGTTGAACAAAAAGCCACTACGAATCAAATGGGAAAGCAAAATGGATCTCGATCTTTTTTCAGGAGCCTTGCCAAGCTTTCACCAGACGCCTTTCGACTTCTCGGTCGCTTCGAACCCCCCGCCTGCCAGGCCGAGGGAAAGGCCACGTGCTCCTCCAGCGCCACCCGCACCTCCGCTGCGGCCACCACCGCGAGGGCGGCGAAGAGGCGCGCCATGGGGCCGCCTCGAGCGGCGAGCGGCGAGCGGCTCGGAGGCGAAGCTGAGCCAAGCTGCGCTTGGTATCCAGGGATTGGCCGATTGTACTCTTGTACCATGGGATCTGATTGAAAAACTCGTGTTTGGCAGGGGATCGGCCTATTCTTTAGTATCTGCGTGAGACCTTCTTGAACAACCTGGCGGGGGATGTCGACTTTCCTTTAGAAGGGACGGGTCCCCATTTTGCCGATGCATCCCAGCCTGGATAAACTGGGAAGACAGCTGGGAATGGGAACAGCCGTAAATGGCTGCGGCACATCCACCCAAAGCTACGCTGCCGGTGATTTGGCTGTGGTTGTCAACACCGTTTTGGTTGATCCCATTTTAGCTGGTAGGTGAATTCACCACCCATGTTAGAACCTATTTTAATGGTTGGATTGGTTGATGTTCACTGGGGGCGCGATTTGGCTTTTGACCCATGGCTTGAGCGGCGTGTCTAAAAACCCGCTCTTCCCAGGCTCCAAAGCTGTCCCCAAACTCCATTTGGCTCGACTGTCTCAGACCTTGCATAGGTGTCCCTTTAGGGTAAATAGATGGGTTTCCCTGGTAGATGATTAAACCACCAGGGAAACCAGGGAAACCCATCTATTCTTCGGCCAAAACCACCAAAAAGGACACCTATGCTTGTGTGTCCTTGGCCTATGTCCAGCCCTGAAATTCCCATCGCCTGCGTCATGAAGCGGTCCTCAGCTGCACCCAACTCCAGCGCCAACCCGAAACCCGAGCGCGTATTCGGTGTTCGGGTCCGGTGCTGGACTATGCCGCTCACAAGACATAGGGCCGCAACCTGCGACCTTGCATGAAATACACCTGAACATGGCAACTGGTAAATGCTGGCGTCCAACTTCATTTTGGTGGAAAAAAAGCCACTATGTTTCAAATGGCCAGGCAAAATGGCTGGAGATCTCTTTTCTTTGGAGCCCTGTGCGACCTCATGCATTTCTGCCGCCTCCCCAAACCAAGCCCAAAGTCACCCGTTTTTTCCCCCGAAAAAAAACCGCCTGAGCCTCACAAGCGACTCTAGCTCCGAGGCTCGGGCCAGCTCGCCTTCCAGCGCCTTGATCTTGGTGTCCTCCCGGGTCTTGGCTTCTTCCTGCTCCGCCTGCGGGGGGAAAAAAAGAAAAACAAGCGCAAAAGCCGGGCAAAGGAGGCCAGTGGCAAAAAGGTACTCTCCAGCGACTTAACATGGACCCGAAGAAGAAGAAAAAACACTTCGATTTGAGCTCCTCTTGGGGGCTCCTCTTTTTGGGCTCCGTGCGAAGTGGTGACAAACTCCCAGAATCAGATGTGCCGTTGTCAAACTCCTGATGTGAGCCATTGCTTGCCTGAGTAGCTACCCTTATGACGATGGTCGACATTTCTTACCAGATGATCCCACGACTCTGCTTGCTTCCAGACAAAAATGTCGATTGCTTTCAGAGAACATGTGGATGCAGCGCAGGGGGGACCCTTCAGGGGCCCAAAGTCGTCACTTCTGAAACGGGCTCGTCGCCTTCATTCGGAGCAGCTTGATATCTTTCTGGACCTCAGTCAGGCCATGGCTGCACACGACTTCCAGTGGGAAAAAAAAGAGATCTGAGGCCAGGTCTTTGTACATGTGGGTCTTGTATGCCAGGAAGAAATCCTCCCAAAAGCAGGTTCCGATGCAGTATGATGCAGTGAGTCGTCATGGGTTTCGTGGAAACCTGAGTTTCCAATGAACCATGGACTCGACATGGCTCGTCTTTTTGCAGGTGGCCGAACGGCTTACCTTTGCGTTTCCCTTTAAACCAAAAGGTTTCCAAGTCCTAAGAAAAAGAAAAAAAACAAGACGAGCTGGCCGCACATGTCTCTGGCGCATGATCCGAGCTCTCCAAGGAGAGTTGCCACCCGAGAAGCCCCACCAGAATCCGTGGTTCAAGCGAGCGAGATGCGAGTGACTCGTTTTACTTCAAAGACGACCCCAGGCCGTGTCTTAAAAATAAGGCCCTCCCCCCAAAAAAACCGCGGCCTTCGCTTTTGTTCCCTTGTTCCCCTTGAAAAAGCCCAGTGGCTCCCCGAAAAAAGCACTGACAAATACCCAAAGAAAACACCCAGAAACCCAGACCGAGCCCCTCCCGGCGGTCAAAATGGGAACCCCAAAATGGCTTGCCCAACGAATGGAAAGACCAAAACCTGCGGCCCATATCCTGGTTGATTTTGACCCACAAATGACCTCTGGGTTTATTGTGACCCACAATGACGAGTCTCCTGCTCGTGCTCTTTGAGGAGGGCTTCCATGCGGAGATCCAAGGAGTTGGCCAAATGCGTGAGGTCCTCTCGCTCACTCGCGTGCAAGGCACTCGGCCACCGGCGAGCGGTTGACTCGAACTGGTGACCGTTTCGGGCTTGTCATCTAAAAATTGAGGGGGAACCATTCTTTTGATGGGGGTTGAAGCCTAGGGGGGTCGAGGAGTCGAGGATCCCAATTTGTTTGTTGACTTTTTCGTTGATGTTGCTCTCCTCTGTTGGGTCCCTGAGAAGATAGGGCACCCCCGTACCAATGGCCAACTTGCAAAACAACCTTTGCCTTGGCCGCGTTTCAAGCTCCGGCCTGCGCTTGGGACAAGCAACCGACCAGACTGGATATCTCGGGGGTGGCAGGCAGCTCACCGCTCCTGGAAGTGAGTCATGATCTTGTTGCCGGCATCTGTGGCTTCCAGATTCCTGAACCTGCAATCAATCTCAGACCGCGAGCAGCATGGGCATCCGGCTTTGGAGCAAAAGAAGAACCACCAATGCCGGTAACCTTCCGCAAGTCTCCAGGAGAGCACAGCCAGGACTGTAGGCATGTTTTAGGGTCCCTCCATCCTTGCCAAGCAGTCTCCACCACCCCGACTCACCATCGCGCCTGTTCTTGTCCTTGGAGCCCTTCTTCTTGCCGGCTTCTGCATCGATGCCGGTGAAGAACCTTGAGAGCGCCCAGCGCATGACTCAACAAGTGCACCGCTGCACGCCATTTCGCCGTCCGGCTCCAGCTCTACCAATTGCGATGGCCTTGCATCTGCGCAGCACCTGTTTTAACTCAAATGCCCAGTTCATTTTTCCTGGGAAAAAGAGAATCGGCATCCTTGTTGGGTTGACCTTTAAAGGGGAACCCGGTGAATGGCCCTAACATTTTGAGATCCACACTTCGGCGCTCAGATTTCGGGCTCCACGCGTGCGGCTGGCTGACTCCTCGTCCACTGGCGCCTGTCGAATGCCAAAAGCCGCGATGGAGTTGGGGCATTGGAGTTAGGCGGCCTCCCTTCAAATGAAACCTGCGTCAGTGTGTCCTTGTGTATTCTCTCCCCCTGCCCCCCCACCAAAAAAACAAACAAGATAAAAATGAAAACGCGGGGGGGGGGGGGGGCTTGGCCTTTAAAAACATGACGCATTGTGCACGCTCCTTCCGACCATTGAGTCGCTAAGCTGTCACGTTCCGGTTGGAGTATTTGGGAGACAAGGGGTTGGGTTTGGGCGGGTTCGGTTTCGCGCGGCATGTTCTGAGAGCACATCCATCTTCATGCCAAACATGTTCGAAGTAAGCAAGCTTGAAAGGCTTGGGGTACACGTCAACACATTGGGGACTGGTTCAGATGTCCCACTTGTCTGAGATACGATTTCAACAGCACATGTCAGTATGGCGGTGAGTTCTGGTGGCGACTTGGGGTGTGCAGCTCAACAGCTAAAATGCTAAACGTCGGGTGGCTGTCACAAACTCTTTGCCGCAGGACACGCGGGTGCACATTCAGTGTGAACAGGGATCCTTGCATTATACACCTTAACATCGCCTTCTAATTAAATGGTGGTGTCCCTTCATTTTGGTGGAAAAAGCAACGTATTTCAAATGGGCAAAATGTATCTTTGAAGGAGCCCTGTGTGAAGGAGGTAGGAAGATTCTAGCTGCAATAGTTCTCGCAACCCAATTGCTGTCCTCCGCGCCAAGTCGTTGGCCCAATGTTTGGCCCTTTTTGGGGCAGGACTCCTGCAAGGAAGTGTTCAGAAAACGGCCCTGTATCCGAAGCTCCGCCTGGCTTGGGAATTGGCTTCGGCTAACCAGGTGCCATCACATGGCTGTGAGTCAAACTTCAACCATGGGACCACAGGTCTAATCCATGCTTCCACTTACCAGGGTTCCCATTTTGGGTCCATATTCTTTTATATTTTTGACAACCACTGCCATGTCTAGTGGCGGCCGAGTGATGAACAGACCGGTGCCAGACAGCTGCCTGGGCATCGCCCGCGGGGCTTGCGGGCGCCTCACGGATTCACTGAGTGTCGCCGTGGAGTCTCTGTGGCCAAGCGGGATTCACCCGGCTATGCAAAGCAAAGTGACACCGGAACGGTACGAGTGGCAACACCAACTGCGAAATATGTGCAAAATATGGACGCTTTTTCGCAAGCAGTGTGGGTTCTTTCCAAATCAAAATGGATCCAAGTGAAACGCAACGCCCGCACCTCTTCCGCCATGGCCACTTACCTGGCAAGGAAAGTGGCCTCCGAACCCTTGCAGCCATCTAACCGCATCTAACCTTCACGACCAATGGCTGTCATGTGGGTCTGTTCCTTTTTGGAGTTGGTACCCTTTCTCCAAATGGCTTGGTTCAAAAGAAGCAACCTAAAAGGAAACCTAAAAAAAAAAGGTTGGGGGGTCTCCCAAAAAACAACACAATATTGGTTCACACGCCGCACGCGACAGACCGCGAGACGCATCTTCAGTCGCCACACGCTCCGTCGCGCACTGGGCCTTCAGTGAGTGGCTGACATCCTTTGAGCCACAAGCTATGGTCCACAGAAACGCCTCCCTCACGGCTCAGTCTCTTGCATCCGCAGGTCAGTGCACTCCTCTCAATTCCATGAGAGCTCAGCGCGGAATGAAAACACCGACCACTTGCCCAACTATACCCTGGAATTCAACCGTTGATACGTGCCAGTTGACTTGATGCTCGCCGTCCACACCAATGTAACTTCTCGTTCCAGATCCTTAGTGTGGGTAAAGCTGAACCCTCAAAGCTGCTCTTCCCGTTTGCCTATCTGCCTATCCGATTCTGCCCTACCCAACTTTTCTTGGCGCTTTGACCATCGTCCCTTCTGCGCAGAGGAATCAGTATGGACCTGGCCACGGTCAACCTCATGATCTTGACCACCAAGCCCGCTACAGCAACAAGCATCACCAAATTTGAGGCTGGCAGGGGCAACAGGATGTCGGTGCCGCTCGAGACTTTAGAGGGGAAAGCATCAACTTGGCCGTTTGGAAACCAAGAACAGCTGTTTTGACACGCCGTCGGCTTTCTCTTGCGAAAGCAATCGTGGAACCCTGGCTGACAAATTTGCATCTAGAATCTCAGCTTCGAATCTCAAGATCTGCCAGGCCGGCGCTATCTTTCCGTGGTAGTAGCGCAGCGCCTTGGTCTTGGGGCGGGCACAACGCCCTGCCGGCCAAGGCAGCCACTCGATGCTGACCAGCACGCTCTGGGGCTCAGACAATCTGCAGAGCTGTGTTGCCTTCCTGGTCCTCGGCAAACAAGCTGACCCACTTGGGTCGGTGTACACTTTTGGTCTTTTGGTCGATTGGTCGAAACCAGAAGGACCACTGAAACGCAGGGCCCCCAAACAAAACGACGAAGCCCGCGGATTGCATCCGATTGCGCCTCCGCGTCAACCTCCGCTCTGGCCGCCAGAAGCGCCTCTCGGTGGACAGTTCTCCCACCCGTTTCTTTGGACCCAAAAGGTTCAGCGGAGGTCTTTCACGACAGCTTTGTGGTTGGAAGCCAACAGGGCGTGCCAGGAATATGTGGAAGCAACAACCAGCCAGCCAACAATCAAACCAATCCAATCATGAATGGCATGTTGTGAATGTATTCAATAGATTCACAGATCACCTGTTCACTACATAGCCGCTGCCAAAGCTGACCTCTCTGTGAGACCAATGAGACCTCGCGTTTGGGCCGACTTTCTTGGGCTCCCTGAATCACGGCCATGGTCCCAAGCCAATGGCAACCTCGTCTTTCCTCTCTGACTCAAGTCTCTCATGGTTCGAAGCTACGGGCCATGTTGGGCGAACCGACTCGCAAAGAGCAAGCGCCTTGTCAAGCCAAGCAACATGGTTGCGTCTCTTTAAAGGCCCTTCCCAACCCCCCCCCCCCCCCCCACCCAAAAAAAACACCAAAAAACAGGTGTTACTTTGGGCGTTCCTCAAAAACAGACGCCCAAAAAATAAATACGCCTCCAGTATAGAAATGTGTATGTCCTTCAAAACCTCCAAGAACACCAAAGGAAGCTGATGTCCTCAAAAAAAAACACCGAACACGGTGGCACCAACTCAAGCGAAAAAGACACCTCCGATATGATTTTCTCCTGAGATTCAAAAGGAAAAAGGCGTATTTCCTTCAAACGAGTTTCAGGGAAAAAAAAATGGGACACGCCAAGGGAACGTCGCTTTTGTTTTTCCATCAAAACCACCAAGGACACGCGACTCCAAAAACGACGCGCCAGTCGAGGCCCCTTGGGAGCTGAAAAAGCTTCGGTTGCCTCGACTGCCAGCTCGCTGCCGTGCGTGGCGGCCTAAGGCACACGGAGCTGATGCCTTGCCTCCGTCTTTTGGTTTGAACCGGGTATAAAATCCCAAAACCAAAGCTTTTCTGTGTTTCCCCCGTTTTTTTTTGGGAAAACCAACCAGTTAACCCAATGGTGTTCTTCCGTTTTTTTCCCCCCCGTTTGTTTTTCTTGTTGGAAAACCAACCGTTTAAACCAAATAAACCAACTTTGCACAAGGAGAACCGGCATAAAACCAAACCAAATATTGATGAATGGTTTTTTGTTAATCCAAGTGGTGTACTTCTGTTCTGTTTTAATCTTAACAAAGAATGAACACCAACTGTGTTTTGCTGGTGTAATTGAAAAAATGTGCTTCTTGAAATGAAAACTCCCAAAGCCTCTTGCTTCTTTGAAGCCCCCTGGTTGTGCTTGTGAGTTGGTGTTTGGCCCCGCTCAAAATGCGAATGCCAACTGGCCCGAGTCACAGCCTCTCGGTGCTTCAGTCACAGCGATTTCACTGGCGCAACACTTGCATTCTTTTTCCTCGCGCTTCAAATCCTGCGGAGCTTTGCTGAAACTCGGCTGAAACTATCCAAAGAAACAAGGACTTCAGCCTTAGAGCCTGTCCAGAAACCTTCATGTACCGAACGGTGCTCAAGCGTAGCTCCCCTTCCGGTGCAAACGGCACTGGCTGACCTCAGACTTGACAAGAAGACACCTAAGAGGATCCGAGTGGCACGGTGGCAAGGCAGAAATTCGGAGAGTCCAATCAAATTGGGGGCTGGTCGGGCTCGGGCGCCATTTGAAGGGTTGCTCGGATGCAACAAGGGCCGACCTCTTTTCTTCTTCTTTCCGGGGCCGTTCCATTTTCCGGCGCTTCTTGGGGGAATTTCCGGATCCCGTTCCATTTTCCGGGCCAAATACCAAAGGCAGCCATTCGAAAAGGCCCCTCCCAAGCGCGTCGTGGCAGGTCGCGGACCAAGCCATCAGCATGGCGTGCCTCGGAGCTGAGGCTTTGCGGGGCTGGGAGGAATCCCCGCTCGCTAGCCGCTGCAGTGGGTCGCCAAAAACTCGTTTGCATCGAGAAATGGATTAAGATAATATACGTCTTTACGCCGCTGGGAATGGCAGTGCCGAGATGCAGCACCACCAACCAGCCCAAACTGCTGGAAACTGCGAAGAGGCCGCTGAAGATGCCCAGCGCAATGCCTGCAAGCCCCGTGCAAGCCGGGCGTTTGAAGCAGGTATGGATCGAGCCTGAAACCGCATATGCCGTCATCTTCTTGGCTGCGCGGTCGATGCAGAACTCCTCGTTGTGCCTCACGAAAGACGCGGTCGTCTCTCCGGCAGTTTATCCCATCCTCAAGCCAGGGACTTCTGCTGCAGCCTTCCACTGCACCAGACAAGGACAAGCCAAGGCACAGAACTTTCATGGCGAAGTAGGTGGCCAAATACCTGGGCGCCCAAAGCGTCAGCCTGTCACAGCAACACGGACATCTTTTTGCGAGCAACTCGGGCGGGCCATCTCCCGAGAATAGGTCCCCTCGTCTTGGCCGTTTTTAGTGTCATGATTTATTCCGCCCCACGATCTCTTCTGCACCTGATCGCTCGCGGCCGGCGGCCGGCGAGTATGGCCAAGTCGCATGCAGCAAGCGCTGCCGTAGAAAGACTCCAGGCGCCAGCTTCTGCATCAGAACAGCTCGACAGGCCAACAGCATTGGTCATTATGAGCATCCAATTCCACTTTGGTTCGGGTGCAAATCTCTTCACTGATGACTTCTCTTGTGCTCTTTTTTTTTTCTCTCGGAGGGGGGAAGGAAATATGCGTAGATGTGTTCCCTTGTGCTTTTTTTTCTTTGGGCCTCCTCTTGTGTGCGTTTTTGGGCGGCAGGGCTGGGTTCCAGAAACACCCCGCCGGTCTGCCGCAACGGAACCGGAAACCGCCTGATGAGGTTCAGCTCCCCGAGCCCCGAGTTCCAGGTCGCCTGCCGCGGCTGGGCTTTGAGACTTAACTCACGTCAGCTGCCGAGCTGCAGAACATGCATAGGTGGGAGCCAACTGGATTTGTTTGCGACAGAATACATACCTGAGACAGTTGAGGAGTTCTGAACTCTAGGACCAACAAGTCACCTTATCCATTCTCCGAACAAGAACTGTTTGAGCCATTGTCCGCACATATTGACACACATCAATCATACTGGCTTACGGGCATCTCAAACAGCTTTGGCCGAAAGGGAGCACACGCTCTGCAGAAACCCAGGCGCCCATGGAGTGCGGCGAAAGGCCGAGAGACCCTACCCGTAGTACAGCTGACAAATGTTGGCACCAAATTCCTCATCTGGCAACAAGCGTCCCCAGCACTACCAGCATCACCAGCATCACCCGCATCACCAGCATCCCCAGCCCCAATGGCAGAAAGCAAGCCGCGAAAGCGCGCAGACGCCATTCTGCAAAAGAAGAAGTGATCATTTGTTCACGGGTTTTTGGGGGAATGCTGGGGATGCCAGGGATGCGGTCTTCGCCTTCCCTAACTCTTTAAGTCAAGCAAAGTCACACTCCTTTCAAGATCTAGCGGCATGACCTTTTGCATGACTGACACGTGCACTGTGTGGGGGCTGTCCACATTATGCCTGCTAAAGCCTTCATTCTCACTGTCCCAGGTCTACAGACGCACAGGCACACGCAAGCAAAACTCGCATGCCGCAGCAGGAGAGGCAACTGCGAAAGCATGCTGAGTTTGCCACACTGCTTGCTCTTGCCACCGCTGTTCCAGCTCAACCTCACCCTTTGCAATCCAACGACGGTAGGGCCGAGCATCATTGCTCAATCCGTGCAAGAGGGCTTTGGCCACGAACCTTGCCTCGTCCGTGTTGAAATGGCCGCGGCGGTAAGCTGTCCACAAGCTTCTCAAAGCCTCCTCTCGGTTCAAGAAGAAGATATCCTCATCCTCTGCACGTTGGGGAAATCTCGACTTGAAGACGAGGGGTTTGCTGCTGTTGACAGATGCAAGTTGAAAACTTGCTCTGACGACAATCTGGATACCTCCGTTGCAAAGGGCTGACGCTATGGTATTGCCGCCGCCTCCCCCGCCGTGACCATCACACACACACTCGAAGTAGGACTGAAGGGTCCGGCAAGTGCCGTCGCGACAATCCGCCCCACAAAGGGCGAGGGCAATGGCGACAACTGGTGGCACGCCGAGGAGCTACAGGATATCTGTTATGCACAGTCTGTTTGCCACTCTGTATAGTCGTATGACGGAATGTCGGAAAGTGCTTGTGGTGTCTGAAAGTTGACTTGAGCTTGAGCTGCAACAATCAAAATGTCTGTCCCAAAAGATGCTCCGTTTTACGACCTAAAAGACTCCACTTTGTGACAATCTGCTGATTTGCCCGAAATCTGTCATCGGCTTTGGGGAAATCCCCAGGAGATGCTGCAACCGATTTGGGCAAAATTGGCGCATATGTTGGGAAATCTGCCAGGGATTTAGGTGAGAGCTGTTTTTTGGGGGGAACAGTTGGCTTGGTTTTCGGAAGGAATTGCCGCGGTTTAAGCATGTCGGAACAAAAGTTTAAGTCCTATTGTTTTGAATACTGGAGAAACTCTTTGTTTGCAGGGGTTGAAGGACTGTGTGTAAAAGAGGGGATGTACGGAGATGATGCATGCACAAACTGATATGCAAAGTTCCGATTGAGGATGAAATTACTTAAACTAATATAAACATATACAAATAAGTATATACGCATTATGCCTTCTTACTTGGTAAGAAACGGATTTGAAATGCCAATGACTGATGAAGCCTTTCACCTCCTTTGGAACAGGTTTGGAAACACAGAACTGATAGATAGCGAAACGTTCTCTTCATCTGAAGGAGGTGATGCAACAACTTCATCTGTCGAAACGCCTCTGCAAACGCTCAATGGAGAAAGCAGGACGACGGATACTACAACAAGAAGCCGAACGACGTAAACTACTTCAAAAGGTATTACCAAGCAAAGACGAAACAACCTTGTGTATGCGATGTATGCGGTTCTGACGTAAGTTGCAAATCAAACTTGGCAAAGCACAAGAGAACGAAGAAGTGCCAAAGGTTCTTGGTGTAAGCTCATTTTGATTTTACGATACAAGAAAATATGTCATAAAATTATAACCTAGAATTACTTAATGAATAGACTGGAGAAAGACAAGATCCTGGAAGATTTACTACGACGTGGCCGAGGGTTCGGTTCAGCGAGGGACTTGTACGAGAAGGCAAGGAAAATCGACTCGGCTTCTGATCTGCACACGCGCGCTCAGCAACCCCTGCGGCCAACCAGCAGCGCAGTTAGACATGCACATACTGCAATCGCTGTCCAATGTTCGTGGTGCATGCATGCCTGGCGCCATGCAACGAGCCACGTACACGTGTTTGGCGTGCTCCTATGCATCGCTATGTGCTGAATTTGGTTCACCTTTTTACCGGGCCCATCACTGCTATTGAACTTCCCGTATGCAACCGGCCTGCTAGGGGTTGAGGCTCTACACTTGGCACATTTAAGGTTCACGTTTGAGAGGCGTTTTGCTCCAAACCACATGCGAACTGGAGAAGCTTTCTGGAGCATGTCAATCTTCGGGAAGCATTTGACCCCATTTGCCCCTGGGTCCTTGGTGCGTCCCGTTTTCCCCCCTTTCACCTCGTGGACGAGGCTGAGCTTGAGCACCGAGAGGATGACGCCCATGGCGGCGGAGCAATTCAGCACCCTTGCGCGGGAGTCCAGGAACATGTGGAGCCTGAGATGAGTCGAGGTGCATCCCAGTCGATTGGTGGGACTGTGCGCGATTTTGTTTGGAATGGGTACCAAAAATCAGACGCCCGGATTGATTCGTACCATGTTTGCAGGCTGCTTTGCAAGTGTGGGTCCAACCAAAAACCGAAATGGACATTAGACGTTCAGGGATTTATGCATCACTTTTGAAGTTGCTCTTAAAAGTGACAGCCATGTCCCCCACCTTCGGTTTCCGTGTATCTGCCGTGGAATGGGAAGGTC